CTTGTTTTACCACACATCTATGGGATTGTAATGTGGGTTTCACATTCCTAAGGCGGCAAGATCTGGACAGTGAATTAACATGGATTTGAAAGGAGAAGTTAGAATCCAGGCTGACACCAAGCACCCTGGTATGAGGGAAGCGACTGTATTAGAATTGTACTGATAATCTTGACAGAAAAGTTGGGAGGAATAGGCATGGGGGGGGGGGGGGGGTTTAGAAGAGGAGGAAATATTATGAGCTCAGTTTTGGAAAAACATGTAGGCAGGTGCAGTCTTCTTTCTCCACTGTATTGGTACTGCATCTGCAGGGGAAGTCCAGAGAAACTTGGTTTCTCTATGGTTCCTTTGGTCCTCTGGAGCAGTTCTCTGGTTGGCTATGCTGCATCCAGATGACCATGGTGGCCATCTTGGGGTCGTGCAGGGTCTTTTTAAGTCCCTGCCCACAGGTTTTGGTGCGGTTTTGCGAAGTTTCTACTTTAGGGAGAGCTCACACAGCTGTCAGGGACAGTACTAGCGGTAGGTTTCTGAGGAGTAGGGAAAGAGCAGAACCTACGGTAGACCTCCTCAAGCTCTCTCTTGGGTTGGACTGACCACTTTAAATAGATGTTTTACAATAAGAGACGTTGTGTTCTGGCAGCAGTACAAGCAACTTCCCATCTGCTGCCAGACTTAAAGAGAGTTGAGCTGAGTGTTTCTCTTCCAGTTAGAAGAAGCCTTGTATTTTTTCAATGATCAGTGAATACAAGTCTTCCTCTGATTGGCTGAGGTGGAAATTGTGATGTTATCCGCCCACTTCTCCACCTCTGCCAATCAGAGGAAACCTTGTATTCATTGATAAAAATACAAGTCTTCTCCTGAATGGTGGATAACCACTCAGCCTGACTCTCTTTAATTCAGGCAGCAGACAAGAAGTCACCTGTACTGGTGCTGGACCACAGCGCCTCTTACTGTGCTACTTCAGTACATTACAGACCTACAGCAGTCGCATCATTCTGTAATGGAAATAGCTGGCCCAGTCAAACAATTTTAAGTGAAATTAAAATGTTATTTAAATTAAAATGTGAAATTAAATGTAATTTTACTTTAAATCAGATCTAAGCCCTAATCCTATAAATATTCAAATCAGTCAGATTTGACATTCTAAGTTTTAAATACGCTTTCAGAAAATGCAAATTTCAAAATGCACTTTCTCTTTAAAATGTGGGACTCAGTCACAGACCATCACAGACCATGAAAGGCATAAATTTTGTTTTGCCCATTAATTCACAGGGCTCTAAAAAGCCAACCAAAAGTTCGGTAATAAACCTGAGCGACTTTTAAGACATGTCTGGGGAACCGATTCAGCCAGTTATTAATGGTGTCACTGTCACTCAATGTAATACCGCTGAGAAACTGCAAAGACACTCACTTCTCACTAACAAAAACGAAAGCACGGCTGAGAAATATATTACTGCGATGCACACATTGACCCTATGACAGCTGAGAGCAGCGACTGTAATATATAGATGCATTTCACACCTTGTAATCAAATAGAAGTTTTTCTGTGAACTTTTTTCCTCCTGTCACGATTATTGAAAGACTGAACCTGTTGCATTTTAGTAGGTAAATGTCAAAGCTGCCAAGAGTTTATAATTCTCAGTGACTTGGTGCTAAGCCCATCACACCCAAAATGTGATAAGACACAAAACACTATAGATTTGATTTACTAAGCTATAACGTGTGATTTACCATAATGATCATTAAAGCTGAACAGTATTTTTTTTGGACACTGCAGCAGCATGAAGTTTATCCTAGATCTGGTGGGCTGCTGCTTACTGTAAAAACAAAGAGAGATCTAGTCGTTCATCCCCTCCTCTCCCCATGTACATTCACAGAATGTGTGAATTGTATTATGTTACCTCACTTCAAGGGTGATTCCTGGGGTCTAATGTTAAGTCTAACTCTACCTTCAAGTTTAGGATCATGGAACACCCATATGTAGGCCTTGTTCACATGGGCATACTGTAGCATACACCCATGCGTGTGCCGAGCAGGGGCGGACTGACCATTTGGAAACTTGGGCACTGCCCAAGGGCCCGGGGTCAGTAGGGGGCCCCATGAGATGCCCCTGGTACCTTTTTCATAGGCTTTTTTGAGTTTGGGCAAGGACACAGGGGCCCCATGATCCCCTATTGCCCGGGGGGCCCATGAGTTGTCAGTCCGCCCCTGGTGCCAAGTTTGTCCGAGTAGGGATGCAAATGTGTTTCATGCATCCATGTGCAAGCAGTCCCATTTGTCAGTTGACTTGGATAAAAAGGAAACAGCGCCCGGTGTCCAGAGAATTTCAACTTCTGAAGTATGGTTCATAGAAGTTTATTAAAAAGTAACAACATGTACATCAAAAATGATGAAAGTGCTATTGCGCTTATGGATATAATCAACAATAACAAATAACCGTTTGCAGCAGTCCTAATTGTGAACTAATAAACACAACATTAAAAGTGAATACCATATGGACCGCATAAATAGTGCAAATATGAAAAACTCTGTAGCAATATCTGAAAAACAATATTAATTATTCAGTCCCAATAAGTGAAAATAAAGTGCAAAGTGCTGTGATTCTTGATTGTGAACTCTGATAGATGGTCACGGGGTGATGGTGAGTGTAAATCCATGTGGGGCACCAGTCTGAGTACAGTGGAGCACCTGTTACTGTACACAGAGTTCACAATCAAGAATCACAGCATTTTGCACTTTATTTTTACTTATTGGGACTGAATAATTAATATTATAATTAATATTAGTATCATTAGTATCAATATTGTTCTTCAGATATTGCTACAGAGTTTTTCATATTTGCACTATTTATGCGCAGTCCATATGGTATTCACTTTTACCATGTACATCAAGCCAACATGTTTCTGGGGGGAAGACTCCCCCTTCTCCGGGGCTAGCAAATGAAACAAAGGGTTTATATATATATATATATTATATATATAAAAAAAAATTCATAATATAAAAACATAATGTAAAACATTTAAATATTAATAATACTGTAGCGGGGCCATTGCCGCTTTCCTTTTAAAGAACTATTTCCCTTTTAAGACTGCATGCTGTCAGAAAGGGTTTGATTGGCTCAGCTCTCAGCAGTACTGGAGGGTTTGTGGGAGTTGCAGTTTCATCAGGCAGACAATGTAACTTTATGTTGCACAGGACTACAGGGACCAGGAGACTTTGCAAGGAGGAGGGAGCAAGTTTTTTTGTTCTCTAAAGGAAAGAGCTGGGTACCCAGGAAGGGGGAGGAGGGATGGTGAGCCATGTGTGCCTTTGCAGAGGACATGTGGGAGCTAGTCTGCAGCCCCTACTGTTGAAGTACACTGACACTGTTTCCAGATCGGCAGCAGTTGCTAAGGACAACGGTTATCTACAGCAGCTGAAGTCAGCGGTAACTGTGATCATTGGTACCAGCCACCAGCGATGGCAGTTACCAACAGCAACAACATCTCCCACCGCAGAGAGAGAGGTCAGAGTGTTGGAAATCTTAGAGGAGGCATGTGACCATCCCAGGTGAGGTGCCTGACAACAGGAAACACTAGTCATAGAGAGAGAGCCCCATTCATCATTCCTTCAAGGATTTAACCCCTGGAGACTGTTCTTCTTGGATGTGGTGAGCAACTGCTAACCGGTGACATGTCAGTCCTTAAAAGCGCTCGTCCGATTCACTAACACAGGCCTGTGCAACACATAGACTCACACAGTGTTACAATCCTACAGTATACAAGTGAATTTGGGACTGAGCCTAAAGAGATGTCAGTTTAGCTGGGGACATATTGCTGCTATAGTTGTAAGGGGTTAATTCTGATCTATAGCTATACCGGTATATATGTATATACATGAATATTGTGTTTATTGATGTTATTGTGCCAATTCTAGAAGGTTTGTGTATTCAGTGCATTTAACTGCTATTTTCCAAGTCTATTTGCAGAGTTTTACCTGTCTTATTAAACCTGTTATAAAACTTCCCGCAAGATATACTGGTGTGTTGTGGATTCAATATATATGGTTCATCACTGAAGGAAGGACAGAAGTGCTCGTTAATTCCAACGGCTCCTTCGGGGGGTGAGCGCTACAATACTATAAAAATATATAATTTATATAGAACTAATAACTACATTTGATGAATATAAAGTTTAACACAGATTGAACCTGTGCAGAAAAAAAACAGTATATACAGAGTTGAAATATAAGCAAGATTGTAAGGGATAATATGGGTATGTATGTGCTGTGCTCATGAGTATATATGCACATTGTGTATATACCCATATTATCCCTTACGCTCTTGCTTATATATCAACTCTGTATATACTGTTTTTTTCTGTACAGGTTCAATCTGTATTCAATTTCAAATTTGTCAAAAGTGTTTATTCATTTTATATATATATATATATATATATATATATATATATATATATATATATATATATATTATATTTTATAGTATTATTTATACATTTATACTTTAATCATTTATACTTTCAAAATGTAAAAAAATTATTAATTTAATTACATTTATATAATATTTTTTATATTTATGTTTTTATATTATAATTTTGTATACTTCTACTTTTTTATATATGTACCCTTTGTTTCGTTTGCTAGCCCTGCAGATGGGGAATCTTTCCCCCAAAATGCATTGGCTTGATGTACAATTTGATACTTTTTAATAATCATCTATGAACCATACTTTAGATGTTGCTATTCTGTGGACACGGGGCACTCCTTCCTTTTTATCCAAGTCTACATGCTGAAACAACCATTAGGTCACACAGAAAAGGTAGCAGCCCAATCCCCAAGAAGGCCCATCGCTACCATAAATCACTGGGCACTATCCACTTAAAGGGGTTCCTTCCTTTTTGTCCACACAAATACACACTCAGGGCAGGGAATAATCCAGTCAGTCCAGCGTGGTCTCTAACACAAGCAATTTATTTCAGTTGGGAACAGGGGTGGACTGACAACTCATGGGGCCCCCGGGCAATAGGGGATCATGGGGCCCCTGTGTCCTTGCCCAAACTCAAAAAAGCCTATGAAAAAAGTACCAGGGGCATCTCATGGGGCCCCCTACTGACCCTGGGCCCGAGTTTCCAAATGGTCAGTCTGCCCCTGGCTGGGAACCAGCAACTGTGAAAGGGGGCATTTACACTGATCATCAGGGCACTGATTATCAGTGTCCTGATTAACAGTGGAGCCCCAATAGTGTCCATCATTACTGCCAATAGTGTCCATCAGGGCTTCCAGCCAGTGTCCATTAGTGCTGCCAATCAGTGTACATTGGTGCTGCCAGTCAGTGCCCATCTCCTGGTGCACTCTTGTTATTCTGGTGAGAAACATTGCAGTGTCTGCATCCCTTTAAAAGTATTTAACCATTGGGGAGTATCTCACCAAAAATGAAAATTCTGTTGTAGAGGATGCCTAAAATCGACTTGTATCCTAGTGCAAGACCTCTGGGAAATTCATGAGCCAATCACACGAGCAGGAAATTAAAATTTTTGGAGGCGTTCTGTACACTTTTTTATTAGCTTTTAGTAGTTTATTAGCTATTAGTAATGCATGCAAGTGTCAAATCACAGCCCAGAGCCCTGCGTTGACAAACCACACAGGTCTCTGAACAGCGGGAATGATCACTTTGTTCCTTTTTCCCTGGGTGGCTTGCACAGGCACAGTACCTGTACATTGCAGCTTTCGCCCTGTTTCAGGGAGGATGCGCACCCCGGCTCTGTTGTGATTGAACACAACAGGACTTAGACAGCAGGTTCTGACCAACAGGGGCGGACTGACAACTCATGGGGCCCCCGGGCAATAGGGGATCATAGGGCCCCTGTGTCCTTGCCCAAACCCAAAAAAGCCTATGAAAAAGGTACCAGGGGCATCTCATGGGGCCCCCTACTGACCCCGGGCCCTAGGGCAGTGCCCGAGTTTCCAAATGGTCAGTCCGCCCCTGGTTGGGAAGCAATGTCTGCATGGATACAGCTGCCACTCCCAATTTGGCAGCCATGTGGGTGGAGATGCACAGCCCTGAATGTACACTGTCTGCATCCGGGGCCGTGCCGTGTAGGACTGTCAAATTGTAAGCAGTGTCTGCATCTATGCAGCTGCTGCATCCCAAATCAAACTTGTAAAAGAAAGCATCGCTCAAATGTCTCAAATTCACGGGCTGGTTTAAATAACTGCTACCAGGAGCTGATCATCTGATGAGAGCATGTCCAGCTTAATAATGAATCCACAATTATAGCGCAGGACCACACACTGTTGATAACAACCACGATAGTAAAAATCCAATCACTGACTTCTGCTTAGTCTCTAACCATCGACTACACCCATCCTGCCTGTTTCACCCATATAGGGCTCAATTATAGAAGATTCTACGATTAAGCGCTACAGTATATGGGTGAAAAGCATTAAAGGGATATACCAGACTAAGCCAGTTGTTGGATTTATGCTATTGTTGTTGACATCAACAGTGTGCTGTCGTGCGCTACATTTTTGGATTCGCAGCATTCCAAATTACATAAATGGGACTTCCTGCATGGAACACTTGTGCATCCTTGTGCAGGCAGACATGGTCCTCTATGTGCTATGGTACCATGGTATGGTGAACAATTCCAAAGGTGTAACACGTAATGATGTGTCAAGTGGGCAATCCCCCCTGCACCCACAAAAGGATCCTCCTCAGACAACTTGCTCAGGTTCTACTTCTCTGCAGAAGCTGTTGGATTTGACATAGGCGTAGCCCCTTCTCAGTACACACCCCAGTACAGAACACCCCCACAGCACATACCAAATAAGACTGTAGTGGAGAAGGAGTTTCCCTTGATTAGGGCCTGCAGGAGTAGGGTGAAAATGCAGAACACTCCAGAATTCCCGGGAGGTATGCATATATAAAAAGGTATGTAACTAGGTCTGGCTACCAGGTAAGATGTGGACCTAGGAACCTAGGTGACACACATACACCATCCACAATCCTGCCCGCCAATGTCTGACACTATCAATTATCTCTGTCTGTCTTGCCATATCTATCATTGTTTTTGATCACTGGATACAGCAACATGTATTTGTGTTTACCACTGATAGCTTTGATTGACTGATTGTAAATGATGTACTACTAATGTCTCCTACATTCTAACTGAAATTGTAAATAGAGCTGCCATTGAAGATGGCTTCCCTGACTGGTAAAATGAAAGACGAGATTGGAGGTGAGTGACTTTTACTCTCTGCTTACCATCTCCCGAGGCACATTAAAGTGGTTCTAAAAGCAGAAGGTTTTTTACCTTAATGCATTAAGGTAAAAGAACCTTCTGGGTGCAGCCCCCCCCATACTAACCTGAGCCCCATCTCAATCCATAGATCAATGCTCTAACAATCTCAAACTTCAGGTTCTGAAAGATGCTGGGATAAATGTAAGCCCCTTTTACATGGGTGAACCAATTGGGTCTGCCTGTCTGTTTTTCAGGTGGACCCTCTATTGCCCTCTATGGAGTGGCAAATGTAAACAGACATGTCCATTTACACCTGACTACATCCAATACGATCAGATCTGCTGAAAACATGCATATGAGTTCCATTCACCATTTGTCTAGTGGATAGGATCGGATGGCAGATGTAAATGGACAGGCGGTCCGTTTACATCCAACTGCCTATAAAGGAAAGTGGGCTGTTTTCATGTCCGCTCTGTATAAGCAAAGCGGACATGTACCTGTCATCTGTCTGCTCAGCTTGAATCAGCAGACAGATCCCCCGCTGAGCAGGCGGATCCACTGGCGGAGTCCACCTGTGTGAAAGGGGCCTTAAAGAGTTTAAGGTTACTTGTTGCCATGTTGGTGGCTGCCCAGAGCAGAGAACAAAAGGTGAGGGACAATTCTATTGGAAAGCATGATGTGCAGCATGGTTAAAATTATGTTAGCACCAAGTTATTGTATCAACCCTACCTTTGCTGCAGATTTCCATTTATGGCATCCAGTCAAAGAGCTGCAGAAATTGTGCAGCCAGATAAAGGAGCCCTGTGTTGACTTGAAGGAGCCATTTAGTTGCTTTGAAGGAGCTCTTATGCATCTACGGGGAACAGGGGAAAGTGGACTGATATATTCAGGCACACTCTAAACAGCTATTCTGAACCAGGTTTCCATGGAACCCTAGTATTGCTGCAGAGCTTGCTAGGGTTTCCTTAGGCTGTGGCTAATTGACTTCCCATTTGGTGGTGCCTACATAATTCCAGAGTCAACGCCACCTGACAGAATCAGTGGCATAACACCATTGATCTCTAAGGGTGGTGCTCTGATCACCACTGTAAGGTGACCCCTAATGAATTTGGTGTAGCAGGGGTTCCAAATCACATATACAAAATGTGATAGAAAAACAAAATAGGACCTCAAGGTTAATAGTACACTTTTTTTGTTAAGTTTACAAATTCAAAAAGGAGGAGTCACTAGTATAATCAAATTACCAAATATCCAAAACCTAGTTTTCTCCCACCTCATAACAAATTATATAACGAAAAGGATCAACTACAAAGAAAATATACTTTGGCTAGATGTCCACACTTGTATGTATGCACTAGCCTCTGAAGCAGCTGGTGGGACCAGGTGAAACCAGTCAAGCGGGCATCTAACCATCACACCCAGTCTCCCCCTCTTTGTGAAGGAGCTAGTTTGGAAGACTGCTAAGTATATTTTGACTATCCATATGTTATCTTATAAGTGTAGTGCCTTCTAGTGTACATAGTTGTTGAGAGTAGTTGGAGACTTGCTAGAAGCCTGGGTTTAGATAGAGGTTTACTTCAGGTTAAACTGGAGTGCTCTACAGGTTAGTCCTCTGATACATCCCCCCTGCTCTAGAAGCTTGGAGAAGCTTCTAGAAGTTAGTAGGCGGAGGTGAGGGGGGGCTGATCTCTATATTTATAGGAGTCTGACCAATCTCAGGCAGTGTGGCAGACCAGCCCATAAATATGACATAGCCTGCCCAGCAGAGGAGTCGGGTGGAAGATGGGTTGGTGAAGTGCTTCTGTGTAGCCTGGAAGGAGGCCCCAGAGAAGGGGATTCTGCCTCCAGGCTGGAGGTTGGAGGAAAGATTAAAGCTGAAGGAGGGAGCTTCACTGCCCTGCAGTCCAACAGGGAAGGATAGCCTGCAAAGCTGGGGGAGGAACTAGCCCAGTGATAGGCCTGAAAGCAGTTCTATCCACAGCTGTAGGACAAGGAGTACCCCTACACCCCCAAGGCCTATAATGGAGAAATCTGCTGGATGCAAGTTCTTGGCAAGACTTCAGGGGACAGTTCATAGCTTACCCAATCCCTTGTCCTGGGATCACATAATTATCCAGGTTCACCTGGAGGTCTAAGAGCTCCTACAAGTAGGGACTTCGCTATAAATCCACTCAAGGGGACTCAGAGCTCCTGCAAGCTGACACTTAACTAGATACTGTCATGGTTCTGGCTGGAACACAGTCAAATATCTGCCATTTTTGTAGTAGCAAGTGAAGGAAATTGTCATCATCATTTGTTATTCATCAATTAAGTTGGGCATTCCATATCACCTTTACCCTATCTAAGTTAAATTCCCTAATAAATAAAAAAAGAAGCCCATGGACTGTTTCTTGTGTCTGGAAAATATGTGTTGCCTGGTTGTGCAGGAGGTAATGGGGGAGCTTTCGAGAGGGTAGGGCTACATAGGCACTGAATAGCTTTCTTGGAATGAACAATGGCACATGTACTCCAAAAGTGTGCTTATTCTGCATTTTGACCTACGTATTGTAATCTCCCAATGTCTGGAAAGATGAACTATCTATTTGGATGGTGTATGAGGGAGGTTTGTTTATGCCACTATATGCAGCTTAACATCTAGTAATATCGTATGGAAGTGATAGTCCTCTGAGTGCATTTCAACAGGTGGTGGTGCTGTCCTCTTCTTGACATGGTCCCTATTTGGAGGCTTGAGACACCTCCAGTCCAACTTTGTACTGTGTTATTGGGAGCTGTACACGGATTTGGCATCTATATGGTCAATAACTAGTGCTATATATACCATGTTTGGAACACTTTTGAAGTTTGCTGTCCACTTGCAAGCTTTCTGGGTGTGTGTCTGGAGGATGTGAGGTTCATGTAGACAACTGGGCTGTAATAGGTCCTCATTTCCTCCAGGATTATAATCTCTATAATACATTTTGCTAATTTCTATATATGGTTGCATATTTCATAGGAGTTAGAAGTGGGCAGTTAGTAGCAGATTGTTAGTATTGTTGTTAATGAGGGAATTTTCAGTTTTGTACTATGTGGATTTTGTATGTAATAAAGTATTTGTATAGTGCATTGGTGATGTGTGGGCATCTAGCCAAGGTACATTTTTCTTGTGGTTGATCATTTATTATGAGGAGGGACATGGAGTCTAAACTAGGTTTTTATACTGCATATAATGGCTATAGCAGGGGTTCCCTGGGACCTGACAATTATTTAACGAGTTCCTCTGAGGTTATAAGGTTGAGAGACGCTGTATAGAGGAAGAAAACGCATTACAGGAAGATAGTAAGCATTATAATATCCATTTTTACAGGCGTCCCCCTAAAAAAAATCTGTATAAAAGAGATAAAATACAATATTTTACATTTTCCTTTTTACGTTTAATTGAACACCTTTAGTCTGGCATGCAGCAGACATTTCGGAAGTGAACCAGTTTAGGCTTAGGCTGATGCTTTTCATGATATGTTCTTCGGTACTTACAATACAGACTATGGATCTTTATATGCAGATTAAACATAGTTTGTGAGCTGTTCAATTCTCCTTTGGCATCAGGCTTGCAGCGAGACCCATGAAAACATAATCTTGTTTTGATTAGAATTTTGCTGAAGTTACATAAATATGAGGCTAGCATTCACTGCTGGTGTCTACATATATTATTTTCCTAGTGATTAATCACCTCCTTGACTCTTCCAGCTCATGAGCAGCGATGGAAAGTAGTGATGTTAGGAGGGGCACTTAGGATGAAGCTGAAATAATTGTAAGAAACTGAGCTCTTATATCTGAGCATATGCTGCAAATAAGATACCTTTCTGCTGAAGTTATTTTCTGGGGGAACAAATTTCTACCGGATTTTAGGGAAAAAAAATTCTGACAGCATGTAACCACTAACCATCTGGGGCAATTCTGACATTTCTCACATACCTGTAAAAATATGCATTTTTGTGTTAGAAAATTACTTAGAGCCCCCGAACAATATTGAAAAAATATTTGCAATTTTCTGCAAAATTTCAGGAAAAATTTTTCTGTAAAATTTCAGGAAAATTTTTTCTGTAAAATTTCAGGAAAAAAAAAATTTCTGCACGATTAGTAGGAAAAATATACTTTAATGAATTTTAGTGCACAGAAACAAATTATCAAATTGTAATGTACAGCGCTGAGCGAACCATTGGCGCTTTATAAATACTGTATAATAATAATACCTATTTTTGGTTGGGTAAAATATAAAAAGATGATGTAATACCGAGTAAATAAATACCTAACATGTCATGCTTTAAAATTGAGTATATATTTCCTTTTTTCCTATTTCTTGCCTACTTTACCAGCAGGGCAGTATAGGAAGTTGGGCTCATTATAGTCTCTCCAGTAAAGTAAACCTGTTACGTTGTCCAGAAATAAGCTACATAATCTGTATTTAGCCTTTGCTTTTCCACTTTAGAATATCCAAGGTCATCATGGTTGTTGCCATTGTCTGAGATGATCCCATGTCCTTTTGGACTATTGGGAGAACCTGAGAGACATAGAAATTCAGGATATTATTTAACCACTTCCCTACTAAGCCAACTCTGACATTTCTCTCCTACATGTAAAAATCTGTATTTTTTAGCTAGAAATTACTTAAAACCTCCAAACATTATATATTTTTTCAGAAGAAGCCTTAGAGAATAAAATGGTGGGTGTTTATGTCACATGTTAGTTGTGCGGCAGTTTTTCAAATGCAATTGTTTTGGAAAAAATACACTTAAATTAATTTTATTGCATTCAAACACTATATAATACTTAATTGGTTAACATTTAAAAGATAATGTTACATTGAGTAAATAGATACCTAACATGTCATACTTTGAAATTGTGAATGCCCATGGAACGGCGCCAAACTACAGTACCTAAAAATCTCCATAAGCAATGCTTTAAAAGCCTTTACAGGTTACCAGTTTACAGTTACACAGGAAATATGAAGCTAAAATTACTGTTCATAATTTGACCTTCGCGAGGACACTTTACACATATAGTATGTTCACTGTTCTCACATGCGTGTGGGACTTGTTTGCATGTGAGCACGGGGGAGGGGGGTAGAGAGGGCACTTTACATTTTTTTGTTTACAAACGGTTTTATTTTGCAAAAATAGACAGTAAAACAACAGTACAGTTTCAAGTGATACTTACAGCAAAAGCAAGGCACTTTTGAAAAGTACAATACAGAAAGGTATATTAATATAAGAAAGAAAGGAAATAGAAAAGAGTAGATTGCAAGTACATGAAAAACATAGAAAGTAAAAGAGGTTGAATGATACATCTGTCAACAGTCTATGCCAGTCAACCTTCACATGGAACGTTGCTAGTCATGCAATAAATGTCTATAATCCCTCCAAGATTCCCATTTGTTATCAAATAAGTGCATCTTATCCAATAAGGTATAATGAATACGTTCCATAAGCATCACAGCATCAACTCTGTGTAAAACGGAAGCTAAGGATACAGTATCGGATTTCCAATGCAAGGCAACAGCCCACAAAGTGGCAATACAAATACAGCACTTTACATTTTTAAATTATTTTTAATTATTTATTTTATTTGAAATATTTTTTACACTGTCTCGTTAACTTTTTTAAAATCAACTTTATTGCTTTCACAAGGGATGAACCCAAATCTCTCCTCTGGCTTCCAATGCAGTCAATCAGACACAGATCGATCTGATAAGCTGCTTTTCTGGCCACTAACGGCCAGGTAAACAACTAGCCAAAATTGGAAGTGACAAAATCCTAATCGCTTCCGGTTTTTGGGTCACAGAGAGGGAGGAGCAATGTCAATTCCTCTCTCTCTCTTTGTAGTGCTGCTGCTGTAGCTGGTCGCAGTGGTCCTGGGCTCTGAAGTCGAACGAGAAAGTTGTCGGCGGGGGTGGGAGTAACCACCTTCTGCCGCGCAGAAGTGATCAAGTAGATGTTCAGCTACTCGAATCACTTCTGCTGAACAGGGAATCACTGCTGGAAAATTTTGATACTGGGTTGATGCCTGCAGGTGCAGGTTTAATCTCAGTATAACCACTTCATCCTGAGGACATCATTTGACATCCTTCACCAGCACACAGCTAAAATAACTGAGTTTGAGAGGCAGAAGTATAACTCCCATTGGCTGTATAAAAATATACCAGCATTGTCTACAGCGTTCGCTTAGTAGAGATGGAGTATGCCAAGGGATTGGTCCCTCAGCAACCGCAGTGGATAATCGTTGGGTCACCCAACCTGTCTTTGTATGAGCAGCTTCACTATCTCTATCACAATGGAGCTGTAATATTTTGTGTGCAGGTCAAGAACACCCAATCTCAACCTTCTTCCCATTTCATCTCCTGCTCTTGTGCTTTATCTTTTAAATTATTTACAGTGTTCAAAAAACACAGGCTGTAAAAGATCAAAAACATTGGCATACCCTCTTAATATTCAATTAGATGGTATTACAGTAACCTCAAGCAAAGTAACAATTCTAGGAGATCAATACGGTTCCAAATATATTGCATGACATTACTGTGATATCTGCTTTTATTTATATAGGCAAAACACCGTAGAGAGAGGGCGACAAGATTATAGCTGGGGACACTGTAATAGAGTCCATCACAAAATAATAACCACATGACAGCACAATAACACATTAGAGATAAGAGAAGTCAATATAATGATATGAGATAAGGGAAAAGAAAAGGCGCATCTGGCTTACATCAACAAAGCAGAATAGCCGGGATAAAAGAGCTTGATAAAAGACGGCTAAATTATAGCCGGAGCAGAGAGGATTCTGTAACAGGCTGTAAATATCTTGGTGCTGTATGATTCTGTACCTGCTCTGTAATACCATGCAAAGTGTTCGGCTATTCAATGCAGTAACTACTATGGGTATAGGGGGTGGGCTCTCTGTCACACCAACAAGAGTGAAGGTGACCCAGGCTCCTTATGTAAGAGTTGGGGCCCATTCAAGCCTCTCCAGATCGGTACATTGCGGTAACATGCATATTACCTCAATGCACATCCATGTGTATTAGCATGCAATAGTTTAGTTTATTGAGAATGGCACCCCAACATGCTAAAGCAATGCAGCTCCAATGGACATGTGTTGCAGTGCACCACAAAGCAAGGTAATCCACTGCCATGTGTTGCACTGCACTGCATTGCAAAAAGTAACACATGCCTGTTTTTCAGACATTTATTTGAATGCATTGCCTTAACAATTGGCCAGCTCCGTGGATTGCTTTAAAAAAGGCCTGGATTTATTTTTAGATACACAGAATATAACTGGATACTAACATTTATAGGTAAAGTTGATCAGGCAATATCTGATTGCCTCTTGGAGGATCAATAAGGAATTTTTTTCCCTGCAGGAGCAAATTAGATCATGCTTTGCTGGGTTTTTTATGCCTTCCTCTGGATCAACTGTGGGTGTAGGATTATAACTTTTTTTTTTTTTTTAATGGTTGAACTGGATGGACTTTTGTCTTTTTTTAGCCAGACTAACTATGTAACTATGTATGTAACTATTACAAAATTTTGGTAAATCTAAAGTTGCTTATACAGAAATTGTATAGTCAGATAGTAATGTGTTTAGTGACTCTAAAGCTGGCCATGGGTTGCAGGAAAGAAAATCACTTGACTGTGTTGATGGGGAGTCAGTGGAACCATTGTGTTCTCCTATCAGGAGAGCAGGGAAAGCTGTCCCTGCCTGGAGAACACAGTGATTACTGCTAGCGGCTGTAATAGCCAGACTAACTATGTAACTATGTACTCTGCAAGTAGTTATCTAGTTCAGGTTAGGTTATGAAACTATGTAACACAATGCACATTAACATATGAAACAAATGCATGTGTGTTAACGCAACGCACCAGGACGCCAAGGTCTGAATGGGTCATCTAAGCATTTATACAGCTACTCAGGAACAGAGATTTGTTTTTTTTTATTGCAGTTATTTTTTGACCTCTTGTGGAACAGCAGTCAATAGATGTGTTGTATGGAAGCAGCTTTAAGAGCTCAAATCCTCTTGGGGAGGGGGTCATGTGAGCTGCACCAACCCAGATCTTAGGTGTGTATTTCATCTTCTGTCTCATTTTATAATTATTTTTTTAAGACTATGCATTACAATTGGGTGCTTTGTTTCATAAAATCTTGTTTGTATAAAATGAACAGTAAGCAGTATTTTTTTCTAAAAAGGTGCAAGATCCCCCCCCATCACCCCGCATGTATTGCTTATACATAAATAGATTATACTACGCTTATAGAATGAAACAACCCATATCAAACATTCATTGAATAATCCAAAAACCAAAATTAGTGCTTAGGAACCACTATGGAAACATGATATACACAAAAATAGAAAATACTCATCAAAAACAGAAACAGAAGAAGTCCAGTGCAATAAGATAAAAAATTACAACACCATGGAGGATCTTCCACTTCCAGGAAAATGTCTGTGCCTATGTCAGATGATCGAGATAGTATGTGACTAGTATGGACAAAGAGTCAAGAAGCGCTTAGCACATAATAAAGAGACCACCGCACATTGGACATCAGATCTCTCCAATCTCTCCCCATTCAGGCTTGCAAAGACAGACAGATGCTCAAGGAAAAGAGAAGAAAGAGCTCCACGCTCCCACAGGAGTATTTTATTCAAGTTAAAAATGCCAGTATAGCTGTACATATCAATTGGCAAAAGGATGACTACTATACACAGAATGCTGACGTCATTGGGGGCTCGTCATATGGCGTCATTGGGGGCTTGATGCTGTAGTCTGACTGGACCTGGGAAGGTGTGTGTCCCGTTACATCAAAAAAGTGAAACTAAAACAGCATTTCATAAAAAGAACATCATACCAATAGTCAACCATGGTTGTGGCAGTGTGGTGGTCTGGGGCTGCTTTGCAACTTCAGGACTTGGACGGCTTGCCATAACTGAGGGAACGATGAATTCTGCATTCTACCAGAAAATCCTGAAGGAGCATGTCCAGCCATCAGTTCATGACCTTAAGCTCAAGCACACTTTGGTTATGCAGCATGACAGTGATCCGAGACACACCAGCAAGTCCACTTCTTGATGGGTCAAAAAAAAAATTAAGGTTTTAGAGTGGCACAAAGTCTGGACTGAAAATCGGATTGAGATGCTCTGGTATGACCTTAAACAGGCCATTCATGCTTGAAAACCCTCCAATATGGCTGAAATAAAACAATTCTGCAAAAAAGAGTGGGCCAACATTCCTCCATAGCAATGTGAAAGACTCATTGCCAGTTGTCACAAATGCCTGATTGCAGTTGTTGCTGCCAAGGGTGGCACAACCAGGCATGAGGTTTAGGGAGCAATTACTTTTTCACATAGGGCCGGGCAGGTTTGGACAGCTTTTTTTCCCTAAATAAATGAAATTGTGATTTAAAAAACTGCATTTTGTATTTACTTGGGTTATCTTTGTGCAATAGTACAATTTGTTTCATGATCTGAATCATTTAAGTGAGACAAATAGGCAAAAAAAGAAAATCATGAAGGGGTAAATACTTTTTCACAGCACAGTTCTTGCATGCTGGTAGGGTTTATGGCTATCATGGAAGATAAAATATATCTTAGTAATTAGTTTCTATGACATCCATCCTGAAAAAATGAAAAATTTGGGCCATGTGAACCAATAGGACTTTACTTCTATTGCTTCATGTGTCAGTCATGACGATGCAGCGGTAGGGCTCAGAATGTATGTGAACATCTGAGGTACACAGACTGAGAGAGGCCATTCTTCTGCAAGGGACAATCCTTTTTTGGACTGGCATGGTATGGTGTGACGGTGGAGGAGATTCCATGAGGGGAAGTGCTGTCACTGCCAGGTCATCTAATGTGTGAAAGGCCTCCAGCCATTGTTCTGGTTTGCTTTTGTTGAAGTTAAAGCTGTCTTCTGTATAAAAAAGGAAATTCAAACATGGTATACAACAGAGGTTCATAAGTGAGGGGGGTTATCTTGCAGCTGACACCTGTGTGATCCCCGAAGGCAGAGAAAGAGTATGCAAAATAATGTATGCTTACACCGGGTAGGTTGTTCAGCTGTTCGGTAATCAATCCAGTCATTCCTGGCAATGTTTGCATTCTCACAATCACTGTACGGCAGGGGCGGACTGACCATTTGGAAACTCGGGCACTGCCCGAGGGCCCGGGGTCAGTAGGGGGCCCCATGAGATGCCCCTGGTACCTTTTTCATAGGCTTTTTTGAGTTTGGGCAAGGACACAGGGGCTCCATGATCCCCTATTGCCCGGGGGCCCCATGAGTTGTCAGTCCGCCCCTGCTGTATGGTGAGCATTCTTTAAACTGGCCATTAATCTAAGTGCATTTTTTCCTTTGACCCCCATTGAATTGGTTTTAGCAGGGGTTCCCTAAGACTGGGGTTTCTTTGGGGTAAAAAGGTTGAGGCTGCTCTAAAAGGCTGTTCCAGAAGGTTGCTCCAGATACTTAACAGTTTGCCTGTCCCATCCCACTAGGCTTTAACTCCTCATTGACTGGATTTGTCAGGACTTGGATCACCTGTTGGTAGGACTGTGGTTCCCGGGGTGGAAGGTTGTAATTCCAGTGTCCACCAGCGGGTGTCTCCCAGGAGCAAGCAGATCCCAGTTTTATTTTTTCACCTGATACTGGCTGCTGGGAGGGTATTTAGGTCCTCTCCTATTAGTGCCTCTTGCTACAGTGTTTTGCTGCTGCCAGATACTGCTAGCCATTATC